CACGCTGTTTAGACCTGGTTTAGACCTGGGTCAGTTCTGGTTTAGACCTGGTTTACACTCGTCCCTCCCTCTATCGCAGTTCACTTTTCGCGGTCTCGCAGATTTTTTTTTTTCTGTGCAATTTTGCATGCCTTTTTTTTTTTGACATTGTATGAATGCGTATTGCGTTCCTCCCGCTGCGTCCTGACTGGCCAAGGGACTCCTGTCTCCTGTACAGTACAGAATGTGTTCAGCTGACAAATTTAAATACATGTTCAATCTCTAGCAGTGTGATTCTGAAGTGCTGTACGGTTGCAAGTTTTCTCCCCGACGAAACCCACAACGTCGACGAAACGTTCTGCACCGACAAAGGCTCCTGCGCTCGCCCCCAAAAGGCAGAGGAAGATGCAAACCATCACACAAAAAGTTGGACTTCTGGACACGCTGAAGGAAGGTAGAAGTTACGCGCTGTAACAGAGTCTTGCACCGGCTCGGGTACCTGCAAATAGTTGCTGAAAGCAGGGCCGCGAGCCCGAGCAGCAGGGTGACAGCCGCTCTTACCTCCGTGAGGTGCGGAGCAGAGCCGCTCCTTTCTCCTGCGTCACCTTCGAGCCCGTCCCTACAGTGAGTCCTGTTTTAGTCCTAGTTCACTTCTGGCTTAGTCCTGGTTCAGCTCTGGTTTAGACCTGGTTTAGTCCTGGTTCAGTCCATATACAGCGCAAAAGTTATTTTGGTGAGAGTAACTTAAAGTAATGCAATAGTAATGTAATGCCTTACATTTTAAATGCAGTAATATTGTAATGTAACGAATTACTTTGAAATGACAGTAATAGGTAATAAATAATGCATTACAGTTTCAAAGTAACTTGCCCAACAGTGACCATAACTCTTAATTTAACCAAAGACACTTGTAATTCGATATATTGGTCCACGATATTATTGTGAGAACTTAGATGATACGATATCATGATATTTCGATTATTGTTACATCCCTAATCGATACTAAGAAAAGTCATATTCACAAGACAGAAATGAACCTTTCCTGAATAGCTTTAAATGTAACAGACAAAAGGCCACATGGTAATATATAAAAAATAAAAGAAAATACTATGATTTAATGTTGAAAATGGCTTTCTGTTGTCTAAAGAGTGTTTTTATTATCACTTGCCACGTTTACATGAGAGATTTAAGTCTGAATAAAAAATAATTCCGCTTTAAAAGGACTATGTAAACACTGAATTAAAGAAAATGATTATTCGGAATTAAACTTAAAGGGACAGCCCAGAATTTTGGATATAGGACCTCATTTCCTAGTGAGCCAGAGTGTTGGAGACGTGTGGAGACACTTTTTAAAATATTCCATCCAGTCCTTGTATTTTCAGAGGTCGCTGGTGCTAGGCTAGTGCATGTCAATGGCCATAGTTAGCCTGCCACTAAAAACAGTCTTACCCACTCCACAAAACACCCAAAAAAAATGTATTATTACGCCAGACTGTCCATGTGAATGTCTGTGTTGATAGAGTAATATTTGAAATAAAACTAACCTTGCATCGCATGAATCGTCGCATTTTGAGGGACTATTTTCTCATATATCAGTCCGCCGTTGCCAAACCTTCTATCAGGAAGTACAACTCGCTGCTGCTGCTCAGACATAAATCCTTCAAATGCAAGGTTGGTTTTACTTCTAAAATTATTCTATCGACACAGACATTTACATCAACAGTTTAGTGTAATAATAGATTTGCTTCGAGTGTTTTGTGGAGTGGGTAAGACTGTTTTTAGTGACAGGCTAACTGTGGCCATTGACATGCACTAGCCTAGCACCAGCGACCTCAGCAAATACAAGGACTGGATGGAATATTTTAAAAAAGCATCTCCACACATCTCCAACACTCTGGCTCACTAGGAAATGAGGTCCTATGTCCAAAATTCCGAACTGTCCCTTTAACTCTGAAGTAATTGGGTGGTTTATTCCGATTTTAAAGCTGAATTAATTTCTCGATCTTGAGCGAAGAATGAAACGTAACCCAACTCCACGTATGCTTCTGATGATGAAATAACATAACAGATCAGAAAATAGTGTAATATGAGCTCTTTAATGTTGATTACTCCAATTTCTTCACTGTAAAAGCCTTCAGTTTCCTGTTAACGTTCATGTGGCTGCACAGAACCAGCAGGAGTCACGGCGCACAAATGACTTATTTAAAGTACAAAGAGATCGTTTGACTTCATCACCGAGTCCCAGGTATGTTCAAAACACCTCATTATGGGACCTATTAACGGTTACATGCTACAGAATGTCAAATACGGAGAGAAAGGGCGATGTCTTTGTACGCCATGTCTGAGGTCACAGAAGAGCAGAGGGCTGGTAGAATACACGTTTCATCTGCTTCGGTCCTTAACGATAGACCTGTCATCATAATTACTATATGGACTTATCGTTCAGTACATGAAACCACATATTTCTGAGCTCAGTATTTATCTCGTGTACATTTTCTTTGCAATAATAGGGATATTGTTGTGTACGTGGCCAACACACTGAGCAGCCTTTGAAACGTATTTTTTTGAGCTCAGGTTTTAACATCATATTATCGAATTTTAAGGGACCGATGGATTGTGTGAAATGATGCTCCGTTCGTTTATCCATCCGACTTCCACTCGGATCTCGGATATGACGTCAGGTCCACTCTTCAACCGTTTTATTATGTTTATTTATTTATTATGTGTGTCCGACTCAGAGACGTTTAGTGGTTAGTGTCCACATTGTTTTAGTATGTTGTTTTAGTACTGGCTGAGTACCAGGCGCTCCAAAATAATTATGTGCTTCAACTACACAACCTCGAGGAAGAATTCAGTATAACTAGTATAATTCAGTACCTGGGCCCAGTCAAGCTACAAGGTACATGATTTAAAAAAAAAAAAAAAAAAAAAAGTATTTAAAATGATAAAAATTTGCTTGGAAGGATTGACATATTTTATAGAAATAGTTTCCTTTCATTTTGAAGTAATATTAGTAGTATTTGGAAGAAAAAAGCTGACAAAATTATGCAAAATATGCACCTTCTACTTGTTTGCACAATTTTCTCTCCTTTATTTTTCCCTCCGTTACCATGACCTTTCTTAATAAAAAATCTCATTACTCAAAAAGTAAGAGGTTTTTCAACCTAATCTTGTACCATATGGTAGAAAACTATATGAAGCAAATATTGCATACTGCATACTGTAAATACCTTTTCTTTGTTGTTTCCCTGTTTTGTATATAGCACTCTTCAAACTTCATTATTTGGGAACATTGTCACTAATTAAACCATCAAAACATCCTTCTGCCTACAAAAAAATAAAAAAAAAGTTAAAATTACTCAAAAAGAAGAACACTTTACAGCAACTTAACATAATCAAGTTAGTAGGACTATTTCTAAAACTTTGAGTAAACAGAACTTAATCTATTGAATTTCTTTGAATGTTCAGGTTTACAGTGCAGTCTCTGTGAGCAACACTAGAACGTTTGACCTATTTTCACAGTAAACATAAACTTCCGTATGTTCCAGTAATGCAAACTGAATAACTCTACAAGAATCTCAGAACATCCAACAGCTCCGGTCAATTGCTTTTAGACTCTGTGCATTTCTGTTAACATTTGCCTGACAAGTAACCTTTGGAGATGTGGAGAGTAATGGGCCCGCTCGCTAAAGGAATGACACCAGTGATCATTTATTAGAAACGCGCTCCACCCATCCCACCACTGAAGGTCAGCTTACACAGTCTGTAAAAGCAGCGTGCAAATGTACACTTCACTCCCAACTGACCCCAAAGGTTTTAAGACACGCTTGTGGGATGAATGGAACAAATTGTTGGTAAAATGTGAAGTGTGTTAACCTTTAGAAGACGATGCAACTTCATTTTCTAAGGCCTGTAATCTGTCAGACCATCAAAGACCGCCGCTCCACCACTTCCCAGCCCATTCACTGGTACTCCCGTTTGTCTTTCCTCTTTAAAGCTGCACTGGGTAACTTTTCTAGTGGAGTGTCGCTATAGAGATATTCCTGTTTTGGCCCGATTATTGCACAGTATGGAAAATAAGTTTGGTAATCGCAATGGAGACAGGTTAATAGTGTTTTTGAGCACCTGTTATTGAACTGTAATTGTTTAATGCCCTACTGTGGAGCATTCCAGGCGAGTACAGAAGCCTTCCACCTTCAAAGTTACACAGTGCAGCTTTAATATTAGTTGTAAGATTGTCAAAAATGGTCTTATTCAGTGGTGTGGTGGGGATTTTTTTAAGTGGGGGTATGCGATTCGTGACTGAACCAGGGGGACTAAACCAGGACTGAACCAGGACTGAAACCTGGACTGAACCAGAACTGAACCAGGACTAAACCAGGTCTAAACCAGTTCTAAAAAAAAAGGCCTAAACCAGATCTAAATCAGGTCTGAATCAGGTCTAAACCAGGTCTAACCCAGGTCTAAACTAGGACTAAACCAAAACTAAACCAAGTCTAAACTAGGACTAAACCAGATTTAAACTAGGACTAAACTAGGATTGAACCAGGACTAAACCAGGTCTAAACCAGGACTAAACCAGGACTGAACCAGGACTAAACCAGGTCTAAATCAGGACTAAAACACTGCTTGTTTCCATAGAGATGTGTTCTTTTGCCTGGAATTTTCTACAGTGTGGCATTAAACATATTTACTTCCAAACAAACAGGCCAAGTTACAGGTCAGATCTGTGGAGAGGTGACAACACTGACAATGTGAATGTGTGTTTTTAAGGTATTTTGAGCTATAAAAATCCCTGTCTTTTAATGTAAAACAGATATGTTTTATGGCATACTGTGGAACATTCCTGGCAAAGCAGAAACATCACCATGGAGACAATTATGTGGCTGACCCTGTAGCTGAAAAGTTGCACCTCTAATGCCTTACTTATTCTGGAAAGCACTTTGAATTACATTGAATTTTACTGAAGAAAAATCCTAAAAAGGAAACAAAACTCACACTTGGGGCAGTGTTTCTGTTACCTTGCTCTTTGAGGCGTATGATCTCGGTGTCTGAGCCGAAGCTGTTCCAGGCGGTGCAGTTGTAGATGGTCTGGAAGTCCGCGGGGACGATGTTACTCATGGTTAAAGTGGAGATGACCCCGTCCTCTGTGCTCACCGTCTCCACTGTGTACCGACCCGATGTACCCGACTCCAGAACCGTCTCCTTCCACGACCACGCCTGGACAAACGAGGACAGAAAGTCAGTGGGGAAACACATACTGAAGTGAGAGTTAGTAGTCATTTCCAGAGTAGTTTTCTGATACTAAACTTTCACTTGAGTAATATTAAGGTTTAAGTTATAGTCCTCATCAAAATCATACCTGGAGTTGTGTTTTGTTTCATACATACATGTTTGTGATCCTTTATTATTAGTTTGTCTACATCTCCAAAGCTCAAAATGCTCTGTTCCACCTTGTGATGTCATCAAACGGTGACTTTTGTTTTGTTTAGTAGAGATCGGAAATTCCAGGTCTGAAATCATCCAAATGATGCTAGTGAAGGTGCGTGGAGTTTAAAAACACAATGGTGCTCTTCCTGAATCTGAGTATTTTTCATTTGTTTGTTTTTCAAAATAAAACCAAAAACAAGAAAATGAAAAAACAACGATTTTCTTCATTATTTGTCTCCAAAACCAAAATGAAAAAAAAAAAAAAAAAAAAAAACATAATTTGTTTTTTTCAGTTTTCGATTTTGTGTTTAAATGAATAATGGAAAAACTTGATAATGTCCGTTTCTTTTTGCATCGCATACAGACTGAACCAGGACTAAAACAGGACTGAACCAGGACTAAACCTTTTGCCTGTGGTCACTCAATGGTCTACACAGGTGCACATCAGGGCTCGTCCCGACACTCAGTCCTGGTTCAGTTCTGGTTTAGTCCTGGTTTAGACCTGGTTTAGACCTTGTTTGGTCCTGGTTTAGACCTTGTTTGGTCCTGGTTTAGACCTTGTTTGGTCCTGGTTTAGACCTTGTTTAGTCCTGGTTTAGACCTTGTTTAGGCCTGGTTCAGTCCGTAAGCGGCATCGCAGTTTAAGTTACGGAAACAGGAAATGGTCCATATCCGTTTTTTCCATTATTCATTTAAACACAAAATCAAAAACTGAAAAAACTAATTGTTATCAGTTTTTTCATTTTGGTTTTGAGACAGATAATGAAGAATATTATAGTTTTTTCATTTTCTTATTTTTGGTTTTATTTTGAAAAACAAATAAACAAATGATACATGGATTTTCCTGTATTACCACATGACATCACAAGGTGGAACAGTTGGAACTCAGCTGACAGCTTTAGCAAAACTCTGCAAAACTAGTGAACATAAACGATCTCAGGCTGGAAAAGTATGTATCAGTCTTTAGTAACTTGCTTTTGATTCATATTTTATATAATAATACACACTTTTCCACCACCTCGTTTATCTTCAATAGTTTTGCAGAGTTTTGCTAAAGCCACTCCCATCAGCTGAGCGGAAATGACGTCATATAATTTCCACAAAAATAGTAATTAATAATTTTAGAAATATACTCCCACAAATGAAAATTGCCACAGCACATTTCGTATAATTTTCTGCATGTTTTGAGCGTTATTTGAGATTTTGAGGGTCTGGATGACGTCTTTGGTCAAAAATAAAATGACTAATATCTTAAGAACCATAATCGCACAAACAAAACTTTTTGCAGCACAAACAAAGCAGAAATAATTGACACAATTTTTAGGTGTTTTAGAGTATTTTTAAGCTTCCTGGGGGCTGGCTGACCCCTGTTTGACTTATAAAACAATTGTTAATATCTCAAAAACTAAAGCGGCACAAACAAAACTTTTCACAGCACAAAACAACACAAATGATTGACACCACTTTTAGCCATTTTTGGAGCATTTTTAAGCTTTCTGGGGGCTGGCTGACCCCAATTTGACCTAAAAAAGAATTGTTAATATCTCAAAAACTAAAGTAGCACACTTGAAACTTTTTCCAGCACAAATGAAGCACAAAAGTTTGCGTTTGATGGGGGGCCAACTTCACGGAGGTGTTCTACATGATCCTGGTGTTTTTATTTCACTATTTTGTATGTCATTAAATTCCTGTTCTTAATACGGACCTGGCTTCAAATTTGCTCCTATAACTACAAGCCTCGGTGAGCTTCATTTGACTGGAGCTGAACACTACTTATGGGTGACATCACGTTCACTTAGGCTGCGTTCAGACTGCAGCCTGAAGTGACCCAAATCCGACTTTTTTGGCCCCTATGTGACCTGTATCTGATCTTTTAATGACAGTCTGAACGACACGGATCAGTTTTTTCAAATGCAACCCAGGCCACTTGGATATGTGCTCCTAAAACCGATACATATCCGATCTTTTGACATGCGACTTCAGTCTGAACAGCTGTGCGACCTACACCTATCAACAAGCCACAAACGTCACTATTCTGCTACCTTGTGCTTCTCCTTCTCAGTCTTCTCCTTAAAACAAGTAAGTTGTTCATGTTCTGGCTCCGGTACGAGAGGAACTTTAAAATCTCCAGGTGCTCAATGCTTGTCCATGTTTGCACAACTTCCGTAAACACAGAGCACGCTCACTGCGGTTGACGTCATCGTGTCCTCCAGTGCACATGAGGGACACTTTTGGGCCGTTTAATGTTCACACTGGAGATCACGTACAAGTCACATTTAATTGGAAACGTGAACGACCTCGCAAAAACATCGGATTTCACAAAAAAAACAAAACAAATTGATCGTAGCCTATGTCCACTTCTTTATACAGTCTATGTGCCTAAGGAAACTAGTCCCTCAGCAGTATTTTTTGAACAAATTCGACTATATCTTTATAAAAGCGCCCTTACCTTGAACGAACCAGGCGTGTTCATAAAGACTGGAGGGACGATCCTACACACATTCAGACTATAACTCACTGATCGCGCTCACTTTGAATCATCCTTTAATGTTCTCTAATTATCTCCTAATGTGCCCAAATCTAACTCTCATTTCACCAGGAGAATGAGACGGATCGGCCCGCACTAATTATTGAAGCTTATAAAGTCTTGCAGGTCCGGGCTCCCCTCTGTTTTCACTGGACTGATGTTTGACTTTTGTGAAATGTAAAACTGTCTCAGACTTCTGGTGCAGTTAATGTTAATTTGAAGTTCATGTGTGGACTCGAATGTGGAGATGTGGGAGGAAAGTGGATCAATGAAGTAAGTGAACAAAATCTCGTGTAGTTTTTTTTTTTTAAAGGAATTAAAAAATTACTAAATTGCAGTGTACAGCCATGTAAAGCTGCATTCAGACTGGAGCGTCACGGTGTTGAGTTTACATGCAAAGTCTATCTGGAGACGCATCTAAAACGTCCCGCAGAAACACCTTAGATCAGGGGTCATCATACTAAGGCCCGCGAGCCCCTCTGCCCCCCACCACTTGAACTGTCCCTATGAAGCAATCCTCAAAAGTTGTCATGGCCCATTTTTTAAAATTACTTATTACTTTTGGCAAATAATAACACATCTGCATCTTGTATTTTGTTGATTTAATGCCAGTGATCAATCCTGCCCATCGCCTTCACCTTTCACTATTTTTCTATTCTGTTGAGAAGGGAAACAGTTTGAACGGAGGTTTGCAGTCACGCACATCTGATTCCCTTTTGCATTTATGGAGTTCGCACACAAATGTCTAGAGCTTTTTCCCGCTGTTAGGATCCAACAACCACACAGTTACGATGTCCGAATCCCCAAACTAAAATATGACAATATCAGAATCAGAAACAAAAGTGATATGGTTCGAAAGACTTGAAAAGATCGGCTTTGTGGAAAGACGCATCCCACTGGGAAAACAAACGTGGCGGTTTGATGCTCACTTTTTCGGAAAATCCTTCCCAGTATGCATTGCGCAATGACTGGAAGTCCAAGATTCTTGATGCGTGTATTCTCCAGATTTTTCATTTGACTGGAGCTGAACTCTATCGGTGACGTCACACTCCTTTAGTCCGCGTCTTTACACAGTCCATGATCTGAACAGAGCTTTAATTCAATTTGAAGGCGCTGCTTTGAAACACTATGCTCCGAGAGAACAAAGTTGAGTCTCGAAGGAGGCGTTTTAGAGTGAAACCGCCCTGCCCTTGTTTACAGCTAACATCATTATGGCTCGTTATGGTGAATTGGCAGTCTCACCTTCAGTATAGTTAAGTACCTGATTAGCTCATCACGGTTCGCTCTAAAACTCCTCCTTTGGGGCTGGACACAGTTAACTCAGAGCAGTGTAAATCCTAGAGACTCAAGCCAGTATCATCAAACTAAAAACGGCTCCTGGATAAAAGCCGAAATGCAAAAACAGAGTCCAGATGACCAGCGCTGAAGTCTGGTCGACGATGATCAGGTACTGTATGTTTTAGGCAAATGTCTGACCTGTAAACCAGGACTAAACCAGGACTAAACCAGGACTAAGCAAAAACTAAACCTGGAACAAAACCAGGGACTGAACCAGGATTAAACTTGGATTTAACTAGGACTGAACCAGGATTCAACCAGGATTGGTCTGAGATTAAACCAGGACTAAACTACAGAACTAGGACTGAACCAGAGACCGTAACTGGACTAAACCAGGACAAAACCTAGACTGAACCAGAACTAAACTTGGATTTAACTAGGACTGAACCAGGATTGATATGAGATTAAACCAGGACTAAACCAAGACTGCACCAGGACTAAACCGGGACTAAACCAGGACTGAACTAGGACTGAAGCAAAAACCATAACATGAAAAAACAAGCCTGAACCAGGACTAAACTAGGACTAAACTAGGACTGAACTAGGGCTGAACCAGGACTCAACTAGGACGGAACTGGAACTGAACCAGAGACCGTAACAGGACTAAACCAGGTCGAAACCAAGGCTGAACCAGGACTGAACTAGGACTGAACTAGGACTAAACCAAAACTGAACCAGGACTAAATTAGGACTAAACTAGGACTAAACCAGGACCAAACTAAGATTGAACCAGGACTGAACTTGGATTTAAGTAGGACTTAACTAGGACTGAACCAGGATTGATCTGTTATGGTCTCTGGTTCACTCCTAATTCAGTTCTAATTTAGTCCTAGTTTTGTCCTGGTTCAGCCTTGGTTTGGTCCTGATTTAGTCCTGTTATGGTCTTTGGTGCAGTCCTAGTTCAGTCCTGGTTCAGTCTTGGTTTAGTCCTGGTTCAGTCCTAGTTCAGTCTTAGTTTAGTACTGGTTCAGTCTTAGTTTAGTCCTGGTTCAGTCCTTGCTCAGTCTTAGTTTAGTCCTGGTTCAGTCTTGGTTTAGTCCTGGTTCAGGCCTAGTTTAGTCCTAGTTTAGTCCTGGTTCAGTCTTGGTTTAGTCCTGGTTCAGTCCTAGTTCAGTCCTAGTTTAGTCCTGGTTCAGTCTTGGTTTAGTCCAGGTTTAGTCCTAAATTAGTCCTGTGACGGCCCCTGGTTCAGTCCTAGTTTAGTTCTGGTTCAATCTTGGTTTGGTCCTGGTTTTAGTCCTGTTATGGTCTGTTTTTGATGGTTTATGTTTTTGATGAGGAAACCTTCGTAACTGAACCTTTAAACTCAATATTTTCTCTATGACCCCCCTCTTCCCTCCCATAATGCACTGTGGATCCTTGGGGTGCTCGGACATGGGTGCGTGGAGGTGTCGGGTCAGGTGACTCACGATGCGATCCGGCGGTGGGGTGCTGCGTATGAAGCACTTGATCTGGCCCTTCTCTCCGTAGAGCGCCTGCTGGGTCTGCGTGCTGGAGATAGTGGGAGGACCTGCAGACAGAAGAGCCAAGGCACAGACACTCAATCATCAACCATAAAAAAATAAATATATATAAATAAACTTGGCTATACATCTTCTTGGCAATGGCTGCTCATATATTAACCACGAGAGGAGAGGCCGCGCTCCAAGGGCAAAAGCATGCACTGTATTAAAAAATAAAAATAAAAATGTACAAAGTGAACAAAATCTTGTGCGTGTGTCTTGTAATCTGTGTGTCATTCGTTCATCCGTTTTTCAAAATAAAACCAAAAATAAGAAAACGAAAAAACAACTATTTTCTTCATTATTTGTCTCCAAAACCAAAATGAAAAAAATAGATAACGATTTGTTTTTTTTCAGTTTTCGATTTTATGTTTAAATGAATAATGGAAAAAAAGGATATTATTTCCCGTTTCCGTGACTTAAACTGCAACGCCGGACTTTTGCGTCGCATACGGACTGAACCAGGACTGAACCAGAACTAAACCAGGACTGAACCAGGATTAAAACAGGACTAAAACAGGTCTAAACCAGTACTGAACCCTGACTAAACCAGGTCTAAAACGGGACTGATCACAGGACTAAACCAGGACTGAAGCAGGTCTAAACCATGACTGATCCCAGGACTAAACCAGGACTAAACCAGGTCTAAAACAGCACTGATCCCAGGACTAAACCAGGTCTAAAACAGGACTGATCCCAGGACTAAACCAGGACTAAACCTGGTCTAAACCAGAACTAACCAGAACTGAACCAGGACTAATCTTGGACTTGAAAGTGAGAGAGTGTCCGCAATCGGGCAATGGCTGCACTGATCCCCGTGGGGCACAAAGCTCTATGTCAGTCCTTTCTCCTGCGGTCACCTGATGGTCTACACAGGCGCACCTCTCAGCCCGTCCCCACACTCAGCCCTGGTTCAGTCTTGGTTCAGTCCGTATACAGTGCAAAAGTCCGGCATCGCAGTTTAAGTCACGGAAACAGGCATTATCAGTTTTTTTCCCCCCATTATTCATTTAAACACAAAATCAGAAACTGAAAAAAACACAAACAAATTGTTAGCTTCTTTTTTTGTTTTTTTGTTTTGAAGATAAATAATGAAGAAAATAGTTTTTTTTTTTTTTTTTTTTTTTCATTTTCTTATTTTTGGTTTTATTTTGAAAAACGAATGAACGATACACAGATTTCTTACTTTTTTCCGTCAAATGCTTTTCTCAAGGGAGATGTTTGTTTGTTTTTTAAATTAAAGACAACAGAATATAACATTTAACAAAATACAATAATCAACAAAAAAAATAAAACACAAAAACACACACACCAACACAAATTTAATTAAATAAAACAAAAGTAATGTTGTAGTGCAGCATAACCACACTGCTAGGCCCCTTTATATTGATATTTTGTCCAATTTATTATTTAAATTTCTTTTCTCTTTCTGTCTTTTTCTTTTTTTCTATTTAAAATTTTTGGCCACTATACTTAACTAACATTATTTTCACCTTTTTTCCTCTTTTACTGTCCATTACAATCTTAAAGCATCATTTTAAAAACATTTTCTTATTTTGCTTTGTCTGGAATGTTTCACAGTATGGCATTAAACTTTTCTATCCTCATGGAAACCAAACCAGAATGAGTTACAGGTCAGATCTGTGGAGAGGCGACGCCATCACAATGAGAATTAATGTTTTTCTAGGTATTTTGAGCTAGAAAACCACCTGTAATTGAATAAATGTGAGGTAGAGCTGTTTAAAGTCATACTGCGGAACATTCCAGGCAGAGCAATGACGTACCCATAGAAACAAGCAGGAGACGGACGAAGTAAAAGTTAGAAAGTACAAAATTGCAGTCTATTTTTTCTCATTATTGCTTTTTGTATATCTTTCAAGTGTCTGCTATAGCGTTGTTTCTATGACGATACTGGCAAAAGCTCTGATACGGCACTTTTTAAAAATTATTATTATTATTAGTTAAAAAATAATAATAAAAATGATATAACTAAACTTGGCTATACGTCTTCTTGGCAATAGCTGCTCGTATTTTAACCAAGAGAGGAGAGGCCAGACTCCAAGGGCAAATCCATGCACAGGAAAAAAACTGAAAAAAAATTTAATATATAAATAAAAAATCCTGGCATTATTTATTTGCTGGTTTTAATTGGCTTTGAGCGTAAAATAAACCTCGCCTAAATCCAATCTACCTCTCCGATAGACTTTGTGAGGCTCTTTATGGCCGATTCTTAGGATGTAAATCAAAACTGTAGATCACGTTAAGGGACTAGCTGTTATAAAGCGCGCTGATTTACGGCTGAAGGCGTACGCACGGAAGGCTTAAATATTATATATATTCCACAGTCTGTGAGAATTCTAATGGTTAAATGCCGCTCAAGTCGTCCAGCAAATAGTCCAAATGTCCACCCTAGTCCCTAAAAGCCAAATTATAGTTCTGGTTTAACTCAACACACACTGCCGCCATCGTTTTTGATTTATGGATCTGCGTCGCGGTTTGTGCGCCACGAAGTAATTCACCGCCACAACACAAGGAGGCTAAAATTACGATTCTGTTTAAAAAATGAAGCGGGAAAGTGGTGTATCGGAAATGTATGTAAAATAGGAATGGGCATTCGATAAAATTTTCTTAATCGATCGTCAGGAGAATTAACGATTTTCGGTTAATCATGAATGTTTTTATATTAAAAGTAAGAATAAATATTAAAAGTAAAAGTATAACCATTATTATTAATATTACTGATTTGCATAAATAAACTCAACTTTACAGCATATAAACCATCAACACTTTAAAGCCACATCAGCCCGTTTGACATTATAATGTCTTTAATGCAGCTTTACGCAAGTCTTACTGAAACAAAACTTAAAACTGCATGGCTCATTTGCATGAACTAAGTAAAAAAAACAAAAAACAGCTCTTATGCGCTGATGTGGTTCGGTTTCTGTCAGACTAAAGGACATGACTCAGTGGAATATGAGTGTTCTCTCTGTGACAGAGGATGTGCTGTTTATGGTGAGTCTGTTCTGTTTGTGTGTCGCGTTGGAGATGGTTCATGTTTTCAGAGATCAGACGTGTGCAGTTTTAGCGCAACTCTTTATGTTGCAGTAACATGTATAAGTATAAGTATAAGTATAAGTATAAGTATAAGTATAAGTACAAGTGTACATGCACCATGACGAAACCGGGACACTGATGTGCAGGTAAACGCACTCTGAGTGGTGTATTGATCTTCAAGGAGGAGCCAGAGCCAAAACATGAGACTGTGAGGCCACAACTCCCGTGTTTGTGTCAGACGCAGCCTCGTTTCTACGCACAACAACCTACATTCGGTTTGTTGATTAAAAATGAACGCAATCAATGAAATTCTTAATGATCAATTATCGATTAGTCGACTGATCATGCCGATCCCTAACGTAGAGTGGATGTAGAGAGGACCAATCACAGCCCTTATTGTCTGCGTCGCTTCCCCCCTGTAGAGGCAGAAGCTCTACAGAAGGAGTTCACGGAAACGCAGACTCTCTGTGTCGTGATGCAGATGGTTTGACACACACCCACAAATTGGGCTCAACCCCTCATTCACTACATAGGCCCGCACTCTTTAGCGCCCTCTATTGTGCACTCATTCACAGAGCAATTTAGTCATGCAGCTACTACATTCAGGTCACATGACTCTGTGACTACGTGAAAAAACTGAAGCTAAACTTTCATAAATAATGATCAGCTCAGACTGGCACACAAGTATTAATGGACTTTTTGTCACTCTGGATTTCACGTAAATGGACTGGATTATTTGCTTTTTGTCTGAAATGTGGAAGTTAGAGCTCTTTTAACAGCTGGAGTTAAGGAAAGCGGCTCTTTGTTTGTAGACAGAGATAGAAAGGTTTAACATCATACTGTGAAACATTCCAGATAAAGCACTAACATTTCCATAGAGAAAAGTGTTTGACGAACCCTCCACGAGTAAAGTTACACAATACACTCATTCATTGTATTTAAAATTTCACCAAAAATATTAACATTTTTGCAGGTTCTGGATTTTTTTTTTTGCTTTATTAGTGCATGTGACAAATGAAAAATGAATAAAATATAACTTGACGTAATTGCAAATCTATGTGACATTTGCGATCAATAATAAAGGTATAGCAGCAGCTGTCATTCACTTTCCTGCAAGTTTGAATTATTAAACGCATTCATAAATATTAATTAATTGTTTCGTTAAGGCACAATGACAAGACAATGACTGACAGTTTGGCGCTCAAGGCTACAAACAGACTCATGATCTACTTCACAAACTAAAGGTGATATTTTCATGTGTGCAGTTATTTTACTATTATCAGACATCAACATAATTAGAGTTTATGCAAATCCTAGTGCAAGTATTGTGTTCATTTTATTTATTTATTTTCAAATTTTAAGAACATTTTGGGCTCTTGTGCAACAGAAAAACATTCTAGATAAGAACAAATAAATAATTTCTTGTACTCTGGAGTCTGGATAAATAATAAAATGTCTACACATTATTTACATTTTAAAGCAATAACAATCCAGATATAAATTTGAAGTTTGTCGCAGATTTCCCTTTGCTTGTTGGTGATGAGATATTTGTGAGGTAAAGTCCGTAAATTTTTCCGAGGAATATTGTCAGTAGAGTCCGGCTGCACGAGTAGGGCTCCGTTCTGGGAGGTGCACTTGTGGTGATAGTCGCTCTTTTTCCACGGCGACTCATTATAAGGCAAGTTTAATTGAGGATGAAGCCAAGTAAGTTCCATTTGAAAAGTTTTTCAAAGTTTGGTGCAGCGTTTTCACTCACGCCTGCTCAAGCCGACATCTTTGGGCGCTGGGCCTGTCCACACAAAGATGGCATTTCCAGATAATTTAAGTGGAGGAATGAACTTCAATTTGACGCTGGTTGGTTCGTATGAATTGGTTTGACTGTTCTGGTTGTCGTTTTGTATTAAAGGCATGTTCCCCTCTAGATTTCAACAAATGTAATTCTTTTGCATGTTGT